CACTAAACATATTTACACATTTACATTCGTGGCCCTATAAACACTCCACGTTTCACTGGCCATGACATCAAACACATTTACCAACAAAAAGCATATGCCTAATTACAAAATCATAGGGGAGAAGGGAGGCAAGTGACAGCTGATGGGCAATGAGCGTGCATGCCTGCGTGTGTATATGTGTGACCCAGCTGCAATACCAGGAAACCAGTAGAGACAAGAATGGATACTGACAATGCCGGGCCCACTTCACTTGTCCTCTGCTCTCCAGGCCTATCTGGTTCAGTTCTAAAGAGGGAAGGGGACCCCTGGCATTCCAATTAGTCCCAGGACTACCCTCCCTTGGAGAAGCCCAGAGAGACCAGGGTCCTTCCTGGGCAGATTTCTGATTTGGATTGAGTTTGATGCTGATATGACCTTTAATTTGCCCCTAAATGACTTTTCTCAGTCAGTTATAAAGACAGGTGTGAGCAAAATGTGTAGCCAGCAGAGAATTTCTAAACTAAAATTAGAGTTCTTAATTCCTAGCTCTGGGTAGTAACATCAGATCCCTACCCATCAATAGCAGTTGTAATAACACTGTTAGCTGCTCCAAGCTTGGTCCTCAGTCAAGCAAGGAAATCAGAGCCACCAGAGCCAGAGAGAGAAAAACAAAACAGGCACAGCCACTGGCCTCAGACAGCCTTTAATAAATGGCACAGGCTGGTATTCCATCAAAATAATCACCTCCCCCAGCTCTCTCAGAGGACAGGCTAGAGGAAGAAATGGTGGGTTAAAAACAAACAAAACTGTGAAAGGCAGAAACCTTCCCCCCAAAGAGATGCTAACTACATTCACTGTAAGAAGTTTGATAACAAATATACCCCAAATTCCAATTCCAACAGCAGAAAGTTAAGGCCGGAATGGGCCACTGAGTAGGGGACAGGAAAGCGGAGATGTGCAAACAAGATGCCTCAGTGAGTAAAAAATGGGGAAAGTCCTCACGAATTTTTTCCTTTGCCTCCTCAGTTTCTTTTTCTTTTCTTTTTTAAGAGGAAGGGAAGTGCCTCTTAAATAAATTCACGGGATGGGGATGGAGAGGCAACACGTTGTTGAGCAGAAGCGCTATCTTCTTATTTTAAAGAAATAAAATAATTACCCAATAGAGAAGAAAGAAATCAACCAAGAAATGATCTAAGGTCATGACACCATGTGTGGTACAAGGGTAGTGCAGCTTTTTACTGATTTTTTTAAAACCTGAAGAAACCCACAAATATCTTCCACAAATTTCTCTTCAAGGTGACTTTTATCTTTTTCAGACTAAAATTGTGTCTCCCCCCCCTCCACCCCACCCCCCGCAATAGATAACATTTGGCTAAATCTAGCTGCAGATTAAATCTCCACAGCACAACACAGCCCTGAATGGAGAGGCTCCTTTTTGTGTGGTCCTTCGGGAGCTGCCTGAACCATTAGCCCCAATATATCCCTCTCCCTATTAACTGCAATTCCCTCCCAACTGCGCTTCGGTCATTTGTCTCCAGGCTCTACGGGGGCGTTTGATGAGCAAAGAAACAAGGAGAAGGGGAGAAAAGCGTCGGGTTAATGAGTTGTAGCAAATCCACACTTTGTAGTCGGGAGGAGGAGAGCTGGTGGCCAATGTTTGTCCAACTGGTTTATTTTTCGAGACCCAGCCTATTGAGGAAGGCTTGTTGAAGCAGGCTTCATCCTTACAAACACACAAACATCCTTCTGTTTGCCTTCAAAGAAAAGGGGACCGGAGCTGGATTTGCATGCGAATGAGGAGCCCCGGGAGGAGACGTCCTTGCCCATCAAAGGCCGCGGTAGCCGGCGGCCCGGCGGTCTTTGTTCCAGCACCTGCTCGCCCCGCGGCCTGACGGGGCGCGCCCCGCTCTCCTGGCTCACCGGGTCCACGGCCCACGGCTCATCCTCGCCTGCCCCGCGGCCCTCGCTTAGCGGCCCACGGCCCACCCCTCACTTGCCCCACGGCCTTCGCTTTCTCATATGTCGTCCACCCGTCGGCCAGGCCCACGGAGCCAGCAAAGAAGATGGTGGAACCCCAAACCCTGAGGGTGGAGGAGCTGAACTCGCAGGACGCAAAACTCGAGACTGAGGCAGGCGGGTCTGCTTTACCTTTTCTCAGAAATCAGGGCTCACGATGCGCTTGCGGGGGAAGCTCCGGGTCCAGGACCGAGGCCAGCGCTGGATCGCCCAGGCCTTCTTGTCATTCTCTTAAAAGCACTGACAACCTGGGGGGTGAAGCCCGTCCCCGCACTTTTTTAAAGATGCAGGAATCTGGACAGAGAGAGGGATTAGCCGGGATTCCCAGGTTTCAGGACATCTAAGCATCATGCAAATAATAATACACACGGTTTTGTTCTTTCGCTCTCTCTTCCTAATTACTTTCAGATATACATTTCAGATTTATGCGTTACAGAAGGCTGCAAGGCCCGTCAGCAGTGCTTGTGCGGTTTGGGCTCGGCCTGCTAACGTCTGTTCACCCAGGGCACCAGTGGCATCCGGACGTTCTGGGTTCCAATGTCTCCTCTCCCTTAGGTGGGCTAGGGTAAGAGTAACTTGGCATATAAGATTTTGTTCTAACGAATTTCAACTTATATCTATATATTTAGTGGTAAATTTGGGGGTGACTGTGTTTACTTTAACCTCTTATTTAACCTCTCCCTAATATCTCATAGGAAAAAAAAAACAGAACTTAATTTTGAGGCCGTGAGAGTCAGTTTTTTTCCTCCCTAAAAAGGGAGGGAAGGACACGGCATCAAGAATGAACGTCACTGCAAAATACTGGACTATAATGAAGTCTTTGTTAATTTGCTAGGTTAAATCTCCAGCTCTTCAGATATATACCTGTCCAGATATTTTTTTTAAATTAACAGATTTAACCTCTGCAACTCACTGATATTAAGCATTTAAATTACATATTACATGTGCCTTGCTTTTATCTGAAGCCCACAACATCGGTAGTAATCAAAACTAGACTTTCACATTTTTTTCAAAGAACTATAAATTGCCTGCAACAAGTAGTCAGTGAAAGCAAAATCTGAAAAAAGATATCCTAATCACCCAAATTGTATAAATATAGGTAGTTCAGTAAACACCTGATGCATTTTCATTTTTATTCTTTAAAGAGTATACTATCCAAAAATTAAAGGTTTCCCTTACATACTCTAAGTTTTTCATTTAAACTAGAATTTCAAAGTTAAGTTTGCCTTTTCGGAAAAAATTTCTTTATGCAACTACTGGAATCCTATGTGTCAAAGAAAATAGTTTTAAATACTAGAGCTTTCAAATACAATTCATTTTATCTATGTAAATAGTTTCTTATTCATGACTTTAAAGCTATTTAACTAATGATCAGCTCTATTAAATTTTTTCTAATAAATTTTTCATCCAAAAATTCCCTATTTGCTTGTGTTGCTTCCATTATAATATAACCTTATGTTGCAGAGTTTTTACATATATATACAATATTGTGCTCAAAAAAGAGTGGCAGTTAAATGGAGTGAGAAAATCGAAAATAAATTTTAAAGTTCTGTAAAATTATCAGTATCTTAAAGAACTGTGGCTTTTATTTTGAGTAGCCTCAATGCTCTTCAAAATGGAATCAAATAAGATTTGAAATGTATACCAAAGTAACTTTTATTTGTAGTCGTTTAAAAACAATTTCTGATCTCCTGCAATGGTTTTGACTTAGAAAGTATAAATGAAAAATCATGGCATGATGCTTTTGTTAAGTTGTCTTTGAAAATATTATTTTTCTATTTCATAATGTGTTCCTACTTATCTCACAAGGAAACTTTTTTAGCAGAAAAGACAATAAACTAAGAAGGGGATGACTGAAGCCGATTCTTTTTGAGAATTTTCTTTGAAAATTAAGCATTTATTTCTAAAAAAGTGTAAAAATCTTACATTAGAATAGTACAATAATAATTGCCAGTCAAAATTTACAATACTCCTTGCAAAGAATATGCAGTAAGTACAAAATAAAAATTCCTCATGTCTATTATGATACAAAACACAGGTTAAAATAAGAAATGATAATTCTGACTTTTTTCCTTATGTAAACATGTTAATCATTTTTTTCTTTTCATGAAAAAGTACACCAGACAAGTGTCCTCAGATAAAAACTATTGCTTCTCTGGCATTTTTCGGGACCTTTCCTATTTTTGTATTCATCTTCTTTTGAACATTATCGATCCTTTTTTTTTTTTTTTCCTTTTAACGCCTGGACCTGAGACTCTCTAGACCTCAAAAAGGCTTAGGTTTTAAAATTTTTCCCAAAGTCAAGGAAGCCCCTTGTGCCTAGACAGGGCGGATCCCCACCAGCACCCTCTTCCTCCCCGCCCTAGGTCGGGGGGCTGCAGCATAGGGCGACTTTGCATAAATAAGAGTGCCCTGCAGAGCAGAAAAGCGCGCCCTAGCAGCTGGCAGACAGTCTCATCTGAGAATCCAAAGCGGTGGACTGGGGGCGCGAGGTCGGGAAGGGCCGCGCCGGGAGGAGGGAACAAAACACAAAACCACCCAGATGAAAAAAGGAGCCGGGATTCCTACCTTCTCTTTCTCAAGCGCGCTAACATAGCGTTATTAACAATTTGAGATCCTAGCAGTAAAGTTCTCGACACTGGACAGGGCAGTCCCTTGGTGCAGAGTCCCCAGGGCGGCGGACGAGGAGACGGAGGAGGCGGCGGCGGCCGCTGCGGCCACGAGGGAGCGGGGGAGCACACGTAGGAAATGTCAACTGCACCGCACCGAAGGGGCTCGGAAGAATCTCAGGAGCGATCTGACAGGCATCGTCGGCCGTGGTGCGGACCGCGGGGCTGGAGGGAGCGCTTCGGCATCACCTGGCCAGCAGCCGCCCCTCTCCGCCTGTCACACCTCGGGCCCCGGGTGACCCGGGCCGGGGGTGCCCCTCTTCGCCCGAAGCATCCCCGGACTCGCCCGGACAGCGCGGGTACCCGACACCCGCGCTGTGGGCGGAGCCAGCGCGACTAAGCTCCCGACTCCCGGCATGCAGCGCACGGCCCCGGCGAGACTCCTGCTCCCGGCGTGCCGCGCGCCGGCGCATGTGCATGGGGCTCGCGGCGGCGTCCCCTGGCGGCTGGGGCCTTGCGGGGCGGGGGCGGGGCCGGAGGCGGGGGGTTGCGCTGGTGACGGGAGGACGCGCGGTCGCGGCGCACTGGGCCGGCGGCGGCGGCGGCAGCGGCGGCGGCGGCTGGGTCCCCAGCGCCCCCCGCGCTGCGCAGCAGCAGCGACTCGGCGGCGGCGGCGGCGTTGGGCGGGAGCAGCGGCTGCCGCTTGAAGCGCTTCCTCCGGCGCAGGAAGCTACCGTTGTCGAACATGTCGGCAGACTCGGGGTCGAGCGTCCAGTAGTTGCCTTTGCCGGGGTTGCCGGGCTCGCGGGGGATCTTGACGAAGCAGTCGTTGAGCGAGAGGTTGTGGCGGATGCTGTTCTGCCAGGCGGGGAACTTCTCCCGGTAGTAGGGGAAGCGGCCGCTGATGAACTCGCAGATCTCGCTCAGCGTCAGCCGTTTCTTGGGGCTCTGCAGGATGGCCATGGTGATGAGCGCGATGTACGAGTAGGGCGGCTTCACCAGGGGGTTCTTGACGCCGCCGCCCGCGCTCACGCCGCCGCCCCCGCCGCCGCCCGCGCCCGCGGTGCCGCCGCAGCCGGTCCCGGCCCCTGCCACCGGGGCTGGGCCCGGGGGCACCGGCGAGCCCCCTGTCCGCGGGGCCAGCAGGATGTCATCGTCGTCCTCCTCCTCCTCCAGGTCCTCTAGCTCGTCTTCCCCGGCGTACGAGCGCCGCCGTCGCCGCCGCTGCGCGGGGACAGCCAGCCGGGACACGCCACCGCCGCCCTCGTCGTCGTCCTCCTCTTCCTCGTCGTCTTCGTCCTCGCCCTCCCCCACCACGTCGATGTCTGTCTCCTCGGCAAGGCCGGAGGCATCGGACATCTCCGTGCTCAGGGTCATAGCTGTGGCGCGGCGGCGGCGAGGTGGCCCATAGGGGCGCCGGGCTCCGGGCTCCCGCCGCGCCCCAGCCCAGGTCCCGGGCGGCTGGCCTGGTCTGGGGGCGCCACAATGGGGGGCGCCGCCGCTGCTCGGGCTGCGCAGCGGTGCCCGAGGCTTGCGCTGCGACTTTGTAACTCCTGCGCCGCCGCGGTAGCCCCAAAACCTCCACGCTCGTTTGGCTCCGCGCGCACCCCGCCCGGGCGGGGGACTTGATCTTCCTCCCTCCCAGCGGCCCTCGCCGGCTCAGTCAAGGAGCGGGTGCTGGGGCTCCCGGGCGAGCAAGTCAGAGGGCGCCCGGGAGGATGCGGGACGGTTGAGAGTCTAGGGACAGAGATCGGCGAGGAGAGGGCTGAGTCCAGGAGAGAGGGCGGACCTTTCCTCTGCTTATAGCAGAAGGAGGCCTGTCACATGGTGTGCACGTCAGAGCGCTACCGAGGCAAGGGAAAGGAAGCCTAGGAAAGCAGCCCCGCTCGGGAGAGAAAGTTCACCCAGAGGAGGGAGCAGCAACTGAGAAGAGGGGGGAGGAGACAGGACCCCACCATTCGTTACCAAAGGGGCTGAGACCTGAAGTACGCGCAGGCCCGCGGTGGTCTGACCAAGGGACGATGCACGAGTTGAGTTCCCAGTCTCCTCTTCAATTAGACCTCAACCCAAACCTCAGCAGCACTCCCGGGACGCGACGGTTTGACCACTCGATGGCCTATCGGAGCCGTCCAGCCAGGAGATAACCACCCCGTCGTCTGAGGTGGTCCCCGGGGAACGGCCCTGAGGTCTGCTGCGTTGTTCCATATCCCTCAGATAGGGCGAGCGGCTCCCCACCGAATCTGATGAGAAACCCCCCAGTTTAAGCGCAATAATAATTGTTTATTGACCTTTTAACCTGTCCCCTTCGGTTCTTCTCCAAAGACGTTTGTTTTCCACCATCTGTTAATAAAAATGCTGTTAAGCTGCCGTTTTAGTCGCTTATCTGCAACTGAATGCCCTAGAAACTTGACAGCTAAACTAAGCTGCTCTAATGAGAAGATCTGACAAATTTCATGGAAGTAAAGAAAGTAACCATTGAATGCAGAGAAGGAATAGAAATTTTTAGTGAAAACCCAAATACACACCAGAAAATGCATCTAGGAACGACTTTAAAAAGTTCTTTCATAATGGGGTAAGGGATTCTATAGTTATCAGTAAGAGGAACGTTCTAATCAACACTCCACAGTAATCTCGAAATACTTAAATTACTAAAGGTGTACACATATCTCTACTCAGCCAGGCTTAATTAATAATAGTATGATACAATGATAAAGACTTTCACACCAGCTTTAGAAAAAAAATTTTTTTAATACACTAAATATTTCCAATAGGTACTGGTGAGAAGAAACGAAATAATTTTTAAAAAGAAGATTCAAGTTCTGTTCAGCCCAATTTTCCTTTTCAGGTGACAAGGTAGTGGAAATATTTCAAATACGATGGTATTTTAAGTACACCTATCTTTGTCACCAGCTGATTTTATTTTGGCTAGTGGGAAAATCCTAATAGTTTGTGGAATTCATACAGAGCCATACCTTTTGGACTTTTGCATTTCCTAAAACACTTTTATTTCAAAGTGGGGACCTTGCCTCAAAATTTTAGCTGCCTGATTAAAATCACTTGACAAGAAATGAGGATCAAAAATCAATGGCTTTATGTAGGAACAATCATCAGCTGCCCTTGTGTATATCATATTATGGATCAAGCAGTTTTCACGTTTCCAAACATTTCATTACTCCCCTTATCAATTACAGAGCCTCAAAAATAAACTGTTACCCCACCTACGACTTATTTTTAAGTTTTTGTTACTCGGGACAGCTATCAACCAGTGATAGTTACAAATGACCCATAAAGTCCATCATAGATCTTTGGAAGATGTATGAGAACGCCTCAAAGTCCTAAATAATTTTTCATTGACTCTCGTTTGATACATGGCTGAACCATCTAATTATTGTAATGGGCTCAGCATTAACCTGAGCCAACATTAATCAGCACTATTAATCAGGCATTACATTGCTTTGTTGATGTAGCCAGGAGTCCTTACCAAGGAGTTCACTTTTACATTTGAAAGTTTAAGTTTTATAAGTACTCAGTCGTTATCTAAATAAACACCATGATTTTCGCTGCACTGAGGGCTGGTGTGTGGCGAAGTGTTCAAAGCTGAAACAGAGAGGAAGAATTTGTTCGCAGACCGTTAGTTACTTTAGATGATCAGTTACAGCCGTCATTCCGTTCTGCTACCACCTCCGTGGACTTGTCTGACCAAGGAGGGCGGGGAGATTAACTTTGCAGTTCCGTTTGTAACCTTGCCCGAAGGTCCTTCCCCAAAGGGTTAAGAGCTCATCCCTGAAAACCTTTGAAAAAACGTGGCAAGTTATCTTCTGGCCACTCAGGTGAAAGTGTTAGGATTTACTAGAGGTTAGAGCGGAATTTCAATCCAGGAGAAGCGCTGCAAGGATAGAGAGCGTTAACGGAGATTTGGGTGAGCTTTACTAAAGCCTCGTGTTTGTGCACGCCACTTGTTTTGTTTGCTTTAGTTAAGCTACACGTTTGTATGCCACCTTTAGCTCGGCGCTCGTGAAATTCCCCAGCGCGGAAACCCAAGCGTTTCTTCTCCCGCGCGTCCCCCTTTCGCCTTCCTTGTCCCCTACCCGCGGGTCTTCCGTCCTAATGGGCTCCCAGCTCTCGGCCTCGGCTGGGAAATCTCCAGCTCCCACCCCTCAAGCTGGTACAAGGTAAAGAAACTTTTCCTTGTCGCGGGCGGGGAACGTCGCGGCGACCCCCCTCCGGCGCACCCAGCTCGTGCGGACGCGGAAAGCGGCGGGGCTCTTGCGGGCCGGGCGGTGCCCTCATGGGGGAGGCCTGCCTCCTGGCGGCGGCGCGGAGCTGGCCCGGGGCTGGCCCCGAGCCGGAACGCGGGAGGCAGCGGGCGTTTTACGAGTGTGCCAGGTGGGCTCCCGGGCTTCCCTCCCCCTAGGCTTTGGGCGGCAAGGCTTTTTCTTTCTCGAGGCCCCGCGTCGCCTTCTCTGCGGCAACTGGAGGCGTTTCCCTGGACTGCAGGTTTCGGATATTTTCCCCTGGCGGTTTGGGCGCTCCAGAAGGCGTCCCGGAGTTATCGGGGATAAGGCGGCGCAGGGGCAGGGGAGGCGGCTGAAGCCTCGAGAGGCACCGCTTCAGCCCTTTGCCCTCGGGCCCCGGACCGCGAGCTCCACAAGGTCCAGGGGCTTCCTTCGGTGGGCTAAGGCTGGCAGACTTGGGGGAGTAAGCTCCCAGGCGGGAAACTGGACTACTCTCTCCGGCCCCTAGCGCATCCCAGGCGTTTACCCATGAACGTGAACATGAACGCGTTTCCAAATTACGCGGACATTTCGGGCTCTCTCTCCAAGAGTCTTTCCACCCGCCTGTATTGAGATACTACTTTGTGCCAGGCATTCTAGTTTTTGGAGAGCGTAACAATAAAAGGAGAGTTCCTGGTGTGACTCATGTCTCATGGGGAAGCCAGGTAAACAGATAATTATTATGCCTACTGAGAAGTGCTTTCTGAGTACCCCAGCCTAAACTGGGCTATGCCTCGGGGTCCCTGCCTGTCTTTGGCTCTCTGCTTTCATCCTGCACTGCCCTTCTTGTGGCTGTATGTGTCTTCTCTTGTTTTTTTAAACGCAAGCGCCTGGAGGCCAAAAAGGGCTCTATTCGTTGTTTTTTGTTTTTCAGTGTGTGCGTGTTCACATATACGTCGCATGTAACTTGCCATTTTAAGTGTAGGGTTCAGAGGCGTTAAGTACATTCACCTTGGTGCAACTACCGCCACTATCCATTTCCAGAACTCTCACATCATCCCAGACTGAAACTCTGTACGGTTTAAAGAATAACTCCCATTCCACACACACACACACACACAACCGCCAGCAGCTTGGCAACCACTACTCTACTTTCTGTCTCTATGAAATTGACTATTCTAGCTACCTACCTCATATAAATGGAAGCATACAATATTTGTCCCTTGTGTCTGGCTTATTTCACTTAACATAATGTCTACAAGGTTCATCCATGTTGTAGCATGTATCAGAATTTCATTCCTCAGGCTGAATAATAGTCTGTTGTATATTATGTATACCACATATTGGTTATTCATTCATCCATCAGTGGACATTTGGGTTGTTTCCTCCTTTTCTATTTATTTATTTATTTATTTATTTATTTATTTATTTATTTTTTCGCGGTACGCGGGCCTCTCACTGTTGTGGCCTCTCCCGTTGCGGAGCACAGGCTCCGGACGCGCAGGCTCAGCGGCCATGGCTCACGGGCCCAGCCGTTCCGCGGCATGTGGGATCTTCCCGGACCGGGGCACGAACCCATGTCCCCTGCATCGGCAGGCGGACTCTCAACCACTGCGCCACCAGGGAAGCCCCTCTATTTATTTTTGAATTTCCACTTACCTAGCTCGTTGTAACACTCTGCATGCACTAGGCACTCAATAAAGATGTGTCTGTTAGTTTTCCTACATCTTTTTCATTCCAGAAATCCTCAAAGGATCCCCATTGTGTTTTGCTGTGCCCTTCTGGATTTGTCACCTTAACTTGCTCACAATTTTGAGACTTTCAGACTCAGACTCTGCACATTATCTTCAGTTTTAAAAAAAGTAGAAGTTAAGACTCTGCCAGAATTAGTTCCTGGTAAAATTAGTTCCTCACACACACACACACACACACACACAAACGCACACTTTTTATATCCTTTTTACTTTTTATGCCTTCTTACCTGTCCTAAATCCTTGAGGGTCCAAGATGATTTTAAAATGTTTCTCTGGCTGTCCAGGCCCTCCACTTCACCATTCTCCTGTGATGTAATATTACTTGCCATGAGTGTTGGTTCACACGTGCCACTAAGCTAATTTCAAGGTCACAACAACCAGTCAAGTGGGTACCTCATGTGATGGCTGA